TATAAGACTAATTTCGGCTGCCTAAATGCCGTAATTACTTTTTTATTAAGATGGGCAATTTAGGCACCCATGTATATTCACACCCATTTCAATGTGCTTTGGCTTATATCTTTGAATGTAGCGCGGCCCGGCAATTTTTAGGAGACAAGATGTGAGCACCCTGTCTCCTAAATATTCTAAAATTTCCCATGATTCATTATTCGAATTATAGCCTGTCGCAATACTCCTAAATAACGGATCATCGATTATAGGGATCTTCGGCAGGTCTTCTCTCATATTTCTGGTTGCTTTAATATTAAAATGAATTAAATAAATTAGTTATTTTAATATAGCAATAACAAATATAAATGATATTAAACCCGAATTCTGTTAGAACTCAGTATCCCAAGTTTTGGAATTTTGTTCCTGTTAAAATACTAATAGAATTCGATACATGCATCAAATTTTTATAATAAAATTCTTTAAAATTTTGAACAATGATAACTCAACAAATTTAACTATATTTATAAAAAATTTTAAATAATAGAAGAAGGCCCATCTCAACTCCATTAATGTCTTTAATCACAACAAATAGATTTAAAAAAGAAACAAAAAATTTATTAAATGTAATAAGGAAAAACGCAAGGGCAAAAAAGGCTTTGCTCAAATATTTTGGCATATCAACATTGATAGCAGCACCGTAGTTTAAATAAAAAACACTATCTTAATATGTACTGTAATTAAAATTTGATCGAATAAATATTCACTTCCTAATGTCCCATAACATGACGGATTTAATATAAAAAATTTTTTAAATAAATTCTAAGTTTTGCTGAGTTATATTTGTTTAAAGCTTAAAAAATTTATTAAAAAATTTCATTTCTATTATTTTCTTTATCTTTTTATAATTACCGTTTTCAAGCAGCTTGCTGGAATTTTGTGCATCAATTGACTGAGATGATGAGCTAACCTCAGTGACAGCTAATGGTCAATTAGATTGAAGTGATGAGTTAATTTATATAACATGAGCCAATACAATAGAATTTTTTCATAGTTACCCTGTTTAGATTTTTGTTTTTTATTGGGACGTGTTTCATTTAGCGGCCTTTTTCTCTTCTTTCCTTTGCTTTTGGTTTTATTATTTTGCTCTACTTTATTAGATCCGGAGGATATGCCAACTTCAACATTATTCGATATGGTTAATGATTCATTTAGTATTGCTAATGTTTCACTAGATCGTGATGAGCTAACTTCATTCTCCGCTAACTTCATTCTCCACTAACACGGATTCAACATCAGCACGCAAGACAGTGAGTGGACTTTCATAATCATTAAAGTGATCGTTTAAGTTATTGGTGGTTCTCTCAAAAGAATTTCACAATTGATTCATAGCCATAGCTATATGTTTATCTTTCCTTTGAATATCATTAAATTTTTTTAATGAGAATTCAAGAGCTTTTTCGAAATCAATTAACGCCCGTTTTCGAATTGCCAAGTATTCAGTGTTAGCTTGAGACATGTTTGTTTGGTTTGAATTACGAATTTATGAGTAAATTTGTGAGTTGTAATTTCGTGTGTTGTCACGCTACGTAATGATTAAGACAAAAACGATTTTATTTATTATATCACTAATTTTACCCAGGTTTCACGATTCTGGCCAATCAGAAGGCAGGAGCAGGTGTAACGTGAAAATTAAAAACAGTCACTTGATTTTTGAAAAATCACGTTAATCTCAAAATTTCGCCTAAGAAACCAAAAAGGGGCGCGTCCATAATACGATTTATGCAATTTGTAGATCAACACGACTTTAAATGTCCAAAAAAGGAAATCGAATTTTGTAAATAAACAAGGACGTCAATTTTTTTTTGTCGGAATTAATGTCACTTCATATGCTGCGTAGCAGCACATGAGTGAAATTAACTCCGATGAAAAAAAAAATTGACTGTTATTTGTCGTACGTATGTTCAATAATGAT